CCATACTAACTTTGCGATATGGGACACATTCAAATCCCTCAACTGCTTTCCTCTACAAGGAAAGGAGACAAATCCTATGGTCTCATCTTGTAATGTGACAACAGAAAAGAAATTCAGCTGCCCAACTTCCAGATTGCAAAGCAAGAATTCTATTTAAACAAATGTGAGGCAACCCATTGTATGAATACTGAAAGTCTTTGTCTTCATACTTATAAAGACATCCCCACTGTTCCGGAACCCGAACTAAGATGCTTTGTAGTTCTGTCCAGACAGCATAAACTCAATGAGAAAATGGTTATAAAACAAATATTTATTCCAGGAATTCTTAGCAGAACTTACTATTCTGAAGATGCTTCTGGATGTATACATTTGTCCATTTTATATAGGTAAAAACAGTAATTCCTTCATATCAGCTTTAGCATGGTTGTAGAGAATATCCCTGCATGCATCCCCATGCTGGTTTTACACAAAGGCATTCCTTTACCCAGACACGTAACAGGATGTCCTGCAATAACTTTGAAACTCCTCCCACTTAACTAGATAATTATAGGATTCACTGAACAGCTAAAGTACATTCCCCATAAGCCATCTCTTAAGGAGACAGCGCTTAACCCTTTAAATGCCAAACATTCTAACATACAGTTCTCAGCTAACTGGCTTGTCCAGCACACCCACATTTATGTGTACATTTGTATGTTAAGATATGTTAAGAATACCTATAACATTAAGCAGTGGCACAGTGGTTAGAATGCAGTATTGCAGGCTACGTCTGCTGACCTGCAGTTTGGCAGTTCAATTCTTACTGGCTCAAAGTTGACTCAGCTTTCCATCCTTCCGAGGTCAGTAAAATGAGGACCCAGATTGTTGGGAGCAATGTGCTGACTCTGTAAACTGCTTAGAGAAGGCTGTAAAACACTACAAAGCAGTGTATAAGTCTAAGTGCTATTGCTATTAATGCAGAGATTACTTTTTTATTCAAAAATATCTGTTAATTAAGGGACAATAAGACAATTGTTCCTTTCTTGATATATATCTGTGGGAATCCAAACAAGTGAAACGTTCAGAAACCAACCCACAAGTTCAGAGAATGAACCTTCACCCTCAATATAACCCATGTCTGACTTAGCAGCAGATGTGCTTTGCCAAAAAAAAGAGGAAACTTATCTATTTGTAGAATACAAAGTTATATATTTATATATATAACTAATTCATACTTGATCCAATATTTCTCCCTTTGTCTTTTCTCTGATTTAATTTTGACTTATAAATTGTACCTCATCAATTGATCTCTCTTCAGGTGTCAGTGTTTTTTGTTTTTATTTTTGTTTTTGAAAAGGGCATGGTAAGGAGAGAAAATGTGGAAACCTTTTACTGAACATAGATGTGCTCTTCCCTTCATGTTCTATCTCCAGCATACTGTAGCTCTTTCAAAAATTATAATTGCATGTTCCCTGCCTGACCCTTTGAATCACTTTTGAGAAGCGGTGAAATTTTGCAAGCCTTTGTTTTAATTACTCTAATATAAACCTGCCATTTCTGCAATGAAATTACAGTAAAAAAGAAAGAAAGAAAGAAAGAAAGAAAGAAAGAAAGAAAGAAAGAAAGAAAGAAAGAAAGAAAGAAAGAAAGAGCCTGCCTTCCTGCCTTCACTTTTATTAAGACCGGAGTGTTTTGTGAAAGTCATCCACATAAGAAGGGTACAAGGAAAACTGTGAGATTAATGCACTGAGGGGATCTTTTATCTGAAGTGATATGTAAATTGAGGTACAATATCCCCTTTAAAGCCACACATTTTCCCTTTTCAGGCTGCACTCACCAACAAAACGTTTGTGCACTTTCCTGAATCCTTTCCTATCAATTCCCTCCATTCATTGCAGGGAGTAAAAAAATATCCTGTGGCTGAATTTGGTGCCCCTACTAGTACTCATTCAAGGTAATTTTCCCTCTTTAAAAAAATTCATTCCATATTCTATTCTTATAATAGATTTCATTGAAACACTTTTATTTTTCGGAGTCCAATCTCAAGTACAGTTGGAGCCTGGAGGGGACATGAGAAGATCTGGAGAGTCCCTCTGTCAATGCTGCTAACATCGGATGTTCTTGCTTGACAAAATATGAAGATGCAGACATTTTTTATTTAACCTGTGTATTACTTTTAGAGTTAAAATTAGATAGTGATGGAAGGGAGGAGGGAAGAATGTACTTGGGGACTAGTTAGCCATAACAATATTTCAGTAGGGTATTTTTCAAGGTTACTTGTAACAAGAGGAGATAATGGGAGAGAAAGTTCACACTTCAAACTAATTGGAGAATGTGATTAATGACTGTTAAATGAAGAAGTGAGTTATGCTTTGTTACGGTGTGCTGGGGGAGGATAATTCAGATTTTGGCTTCACTATGTACGTGCCGAAGCTATGTAGCAATTAAAAAGGTTCTTTAAGGTAAACAATGCCTCAAAGTTCTTTGAAGAGTTTCTTCTTTTGGAACCATGACACTCTCCTTCTCTCCTGTAGACCCTCTGGATTCACCTTCAGCAACTCCTGAATGCACTGGGTGAGATAGGCTCCAGGGCAAGGACTAGAATTTGTGGCCACAATACTTACAGGCTCATCTCCTTCCACTTACTACACAGATACGTTCAAGGGATGCTTCACCATCTATTGTGGAAGATACACAGTGAAAGGAAGTGAATCTGATGCCAAGTTAAAACCTTCTGTTCCTCTGAACAGCTCTTAAAATTGATTCAGAAAATTGAATGTGTGTATTTGAACTGACTGTGAAAGTTGGACCATAAGAAAGGCTGAATGCCAAAGAATTGAGGCCTTTGAACTCTGGTGCTGGAGAAGACTCCTGCGAGTCCCTTGGACTGCAAGGCGTTCAAACTGGTCAGTCCTAGAAGAGATCAACCCCAACTGCTCTTTAGATCCTGAAGTTGAAACTCAAATACTTTGGCTACCTAATGAGAAAGAAGGACTCACTGGAGAAGGGCCTAATGCTGGGAAAGATTGAGGGCAATAGAAGAAGGGGACGACAGAGAATGAGATGGCTGGATGGAGTCACTGAAGCAGTAGGTGTGAACTTAAATGGACTCCAGAAGATGGTAGAGGACAGGAAGACCTGGAGGAATGCTGTCCGTGGGGTCGCAATGGGTCGGACATGACTTCGCAATTAATAACAACAACAAATTTGAACTAAGAAGCAGAAGATAAATCTCAATGACAGGTTATAGAAACTCAAATCTGATCTTCAAAGAAGCAATGTGGAATCTTGTTAGCACTTTGACAGGAAAAAAAAGACATCTCCAGGGTGTGGAATAAACTGGGGATCTTTTAAAAAGTTAAAACATGGATCTACAGATCTTCTTTGATATATTTCCTTTGATTCTCAGTATTGCCAATTCTTCATTGTTTTTAGACATGTTGCTCCTTTTTAATTCTTTTTATACCCATATATATTCAACACCCTGAATCCTGAAGTTTTCTCCTCTCAGTAGGATTGAGCCAAGGGTGATAAATATTGGTCACTGCAAGCCTTCTCTCCCAGAATCCTTCTGAGACTTATTTTGGACTGTCTTCCTGCTTTGATGTGGTTGCTTGTACAATTTCCTTGTACAATTTCACACCAAAGAAATAGATGTGCTCACCTGGCTTACTCAAAAGTAACCTTTGTGGGGAGAAGGGTGAGTAATGTAGTGGAAAACCACAATACTTACATCAGAAGACAAGACCACGAAGGGCTGGAGAAAACAGGTTTTTATTTGTGCACAATGGTTCAGAGCATTCACATAACAAATTCTGAACCCTGAGTTACTCTGAGGGTGTCACTTTTATACAGCTTGCCGCCCACGCTTAACCTAATAGATGACTTCTTATCCACCTTTAACACACTAAAAGAGAGAAGTTCATATCTTGAGACAACACACATAGGAAAAAGGAGAAGTTCACACAAACGGTTGTCTTACCACACCTTTCTGCACGGGCGCTATCTTACAACATCTGTGACTTTTAGTTGACACTGACACTTCTTGTAAAATGGTTTCTACATAGCATGAACACATCTCTATAATTATGACACACAGGTTATATGATTTAGGTTACATTTCACAGCCAAGCTTAATATTATCTATTAACTATTGTCAGCAACAAGCATTCCTATTAAGATATAGATATATTGAACTTTTTCCTGCCCACCTCAGTAAGACTTGAATACCTCAACTATCTTGCTTAATAGGGAAATTAAAATAAAATTTAAAAAAATCCAATGGTCTCATTTTGTGCAGGTATAATTTTTGACTTATGAAAATCAGCCCCACAATATCCACATTACAAAGCAAGTAAGTATTTATTCAAAAGCAACTCTTCCCATTTTCCTCCATACTAATAATTAAATGTGTCTGCCTTGACTATCATAAGGCCTTGCCCGTAATCTCAAATTTGTTGCAAAGAATTCTGTAATGTCAATGAGGAGAATTTTGTAAAAATAACTAATTTGTACTTGTTGAATTTCTTCCCCCTTTGTCTTTTCCCTTATTCCAACTCTGACTTAAAACTTGTGCCTCATCAAGCGTTCAGGTTTTGGGGGTTTCGTTTGAAAAGGGCATGGTAAGGAGAGAAAATGTGGAAAACTTTTACTGAATTCAGATGTGCTCTACTTTTCATGTTCTATCTTCAATGCAGCTCTTTCAAAAATTATAATTGCATGTTCCTCGGCTGTCCCTTTGAATCACTTTTGAGAAGTGGTGAAATTTTGAAAGTCTTTGTTTTAATTGCTCTAATATAAATCTGCCATTTCTGCTATGAATTTACAGTAAAAAAGGATGAGAGAGACTGACTTCACTTTTATTGAGACTGGAATGTTATGTCAAAGTCACCCATGTAAGGAGCATACAAGGAAAACTGTGAGATTAATGCACTGAGGGGATCTTTTATCTGAAGTGATATGTAAATTGAGGCACATTTCCCCCTTTAAAGCCACATGATTTGCCTTTTCAGGATGCATCCACCAACACAAAGTTTGTTCACTTTCCTGAATCCTTTCCTATCAATTCCATTCATTCATTACAGGGAGCAAAAAATGATCCCGTGGTTGAATTTGGTGTCTTTACTAGTATTCCTTCAAGGTACTTTTTCCCTCTTTAAAGAATTTCTTTCCCTATTCTGTTTTTGTACATAGAAGGTTTCATGTAAACACTTTTCTTTTTAGGTGTCAAATCTCAAGGACAGTTGGTGGAGTCTGGAGGGGGTGTGAGAAGACCTGGAGGGTCCCTCCGTCTCTCGTGCCAAGCCTCTGGATTCACCTTCAGCACCTCCTGGATGCACTGGGTGAGACAGGCTCCAGGGCAAGAACTAGAATTTGTGGCCACAATACTTACAGGCTCATCTCCTTCCATTTACTACCCTGATAAATTCACAGGACGCTTCACCATCTCCAGGGATGATTCCCGCAGTCAGCTGTATTTGCAAATGAACAATCTGAAACCTGAGGACACAGCTGTCTATTACTGTACGAGATACACAGTGAGAGGAAGTGGATGTGATGCCAGGCAAAAACCTTCTCTTCCTCTCTGCAGCTCTGCAAAATGATTCAATCACAGGAAGTTGAAACTGTGTATTTGAACTTGGAAGCAGAAGATAAATCTCAATGACAGGTTTTAGAAACTCAAATCTGTTCTTCTAAGACAGACATGTCAAACACAAGGCCTGGGGGCCAGATGTGGCCCGCAAAGTGGTTTCATGTGGCCCGTGAAGCCATCCCTCAGATCTATCCCACTCCTGCCCAGGCCCCCACAGGCACCCTTGACATAAATGATGTAGAGCTGGCCACACCCACCCAGTAGGCACACTCACTCCATCCATGCCCACCCAGTAGGTTGCATCCACCCTGGCCACACCCACCCTGAGGGCAACCGCAATGCTGATGCGGCCCTCAATGAAATTGAGTTTGACACCCCTGTTCTAAGAAGCAATGTGGAATCTTGTTAACACTTTGACAGGGCTGGGGTGGGGGGAAGGATAGCTCCAGTCTGTGGAATAATCTGGGTAGCTTTTAAAAAGTTAAAATGTATTTACAGGTAGAAGCATGGATCTACAGATCTTCCTTGATATATTTCCTTTGATTCTCAGTATTACCAATTCTCCATGGTTTAATTTTTTTAGACATGTTGCTCCATTTTAATTCTTTCTATATCAATATATATTCAACATCCTGAATCCTGAAGTTCTCTCCCCTCAGTAGGATTGATCCAAAGGAGATAAACTTTAGTCAGTGCAAGCTTTCTCTCCCAGAAGCCCTTTGAGACTCAATATTTTGGACTATCTTCCTGCTTTGACATAGCTGCTTAGTTGCTCCTTCTACAATCTGATACCAAAGAAATGAATGTGCTCACCTGGCTTGCTTTTTTTTTGGGGGGGGAGAGGTTGAGTAAGACTTGAATCCCTCAACTATCTTGCTTAACAGGGAAATTAAACTGGAATAACAAATCCACTGGTCTCATTTTGGGCAGGTAAAGTTTTTTGACTTAGGAAAATCAGCCTCACAATACCCACATTGCAAAGTAAGGAAATATTTACTCAAAAGCAGCCCTTCCCATTTTTTTTTCATACTAATAATTAAACATGTCTGTCTCATCATAAGGACTTGCCCATAATCTCAAATTTGTTGCAAATAATTCTGTAACATCAGTGAGGAGAATACATGCTACATTAGGAAAAAAGGAATAGAGTTTGAAGAAATAAAGACAAGTAACTAATGTACAGATCAAACAATGGTCACTCTCTGTCTAATCTTAATGAAATCCACACTCACCTATGGAAATGAACCATTGGTGTTGAACAAGAGACAGTAAGAATAATTAACCTAGAAAACAAGGACACAAGTGGCATAGAACATATTTTGATAAATGCAATTTTTCATGTTCAAGTAGCAATAGCAATAGCACTTAGATTTATATACTGCTCCATAGTGCTTTACAGCATTCTCAAAATGATTTACAATGTCAGCATATTGTTGCCAACAATCTGGGTCCTCATTTCACCGACCTCAGAAGGATGAAAGGCTGAGTCAACTCTGAGCCAGTCAAGATCGAACTCCTGGCTGTGGGCAGAGTTTGTATGCAATACTACTTTCTAACCACTGTGCCATCAGGGAAATACCCACGCAACCCTCACTGTATAAAGTAATATAAGCAATGTCTGAGTTAATAGCAGATGTGCTTTGTCAAATATAGAGGAAACTTAATTATTTGTAGAGTATAAAGTTATTTATTTGTAGAAATAATTTATACTTGATGAATTTCTTTTCCCTCTGTCTTTCCTCTTATTCTATCTCTGACTTAGAAATTGTGCCTCATCAAGTTTTTTTGGGGGGTTGGGGGGGTTTGAAAAGGGCATGTTAAGGAGAAAAAAAGTGGAAAGCTTTTATTTAACTCAGGATGTGTTCTTCTTTTTATGTTCTATCTTTAGCATAGCTCTTTCAAAAATTATAATTGCATGTCCCTTGCCTGTCCCTTTGAATCATTTTTGAGAAGCGGTGAAATTTTGCAAGTCTTTGTTTTAATTACTCTAATATAAACCTGCCATTTCTGCAATGAAATTACAGAAAGAAAGAAAGAAAGAAAGAAAGAAAGAAAGAAAGAAAGAAAGAAAGAAAGAAAGAAAGAAAGAGACTGCCTTCACTTTTATTGAAACAGGAATGTTTTCTGAAAGTCACTGATGTAAGGAATGTACAAGGAAAACTATGAGATTATTACACTGAGAGGCTCTTTTATCTGAAGTTTTATGTAAATCAGGGAGCAATTTCCCCTTTAAAGGAGTCATTTGTTTTCCCTTTTCAGGCTACACTGACCAACAAAAAGTTTGTGCACTTTCCTGAATCCTTTCCTATCAAGTCCCTCCATTCATTGCAGGGAGCAAAAAATGATCCTGTGGCTGAATTTGGTGCCCTGGCTGGCACTCCTTCAAAGTACTTTTTCCCTCTTTAAATAATTTCTTTCCCTATTCTCTTTTTGTACATAGAAGATTTCATTCAAACACTTTTGTTTTTAGGTGTCAAATCTCAAGGACAGTTGGTGGAATCTGGAGGGGGTGTGAGAAGACCTGGAGGGTCCCTCCGTCTCTCCTGCCAAGGCTCTGGATTCACCTTCAGCAGCTATTGGATGCACTGGGTGAGACAGGCTCCAGAGAAAGGACTAGAATGGGTGGCTGCCATAAGTACAGGCTCATCTCCTTCCACTTACTACCCAGATAAAGTCAAGGGACGCTTCACCAACTCCAGGGACGATGCCAAAAGCCAGCTGTATCTGCAGATGAACAATCTGGAACTGGAGGATACTTCAGTTTATTACTGCACAAAAGACACAGTGAGAGGAAGTGAATCAGATGCTAAGCAAAAACCTTTTTTTCCCCTCTCAGCAGCTCTCTAAATTGATTCAGAAAGCTGAACTTGTGTATTTAAACTGAGAAGCAGAATATAAATCTACATGACAGGTTGTGGAACCTCAAATCTGATCTTCGAAGAAGCAGTGTGGAACCTTGATAGCACTTGGATAGAGGAAAAAAAAAAAACAGGAAAACTCCAGGCTGTGGAATAAACTGGGTAGTTTTTTAAAAGTTTAATTTAAACACAGGTTGAAATATGGATTGATGTCTTACACATTTTCCTGCATATGTTTGCAGATCTAAATCCTTTGATTTTCAGTATTACCTCACTAAACTCACTAAATCTCCTGAAGATTTTAATTTGTTTTCAGCTTCTTTTCCCTTTCTGAAAATCAGAATGGCTTCCTCTTATCCTCATCACTAACATCAGGGGGCAGTATTGTCACACTCAGTCATATTGGCAATGCAGGGAGATATAGGCAGGGGAATACTGTGGTGCAGTCTGTACATCTCATTTCGAAGGTTGATTATATCTTTGTTTACTTGCTTAAAAATTCATTTTAATTCATCTTAAAATGACTATAATCTTCCCAGTGAAGCCACATATTTCTTAAATATATAAGAAATATATAAGAAATTGAATTTCTTGGAGAATAAAAAGGGATCTTTCTCATTCAATGAAGAGAACATTCTGGAACATAACATGATTTGATTTTGTCTTTGTGAGTTGGGTGGACGGTGCAGCTGTGGATTACACATTGTTCCTCAAGCCTTAATCGATATTTACTGTTCCTGAGAAAAGGAAGGAAGGAAGGAAGGGAGGAAGGAAGGAAGGAAGGAAGGAAGGAAGGAAGGAAGGAAGGAAGGAAGGAAGGAAGGAAGGAAGGAAATCTCTTAACTGTGATATAGTTAGAACAGACATGTCAAACACAAGGCCTGGGGGCTGGATGCGGCCTGCGAAATGGTTTCATTTGGCCTGTGAAGCCATCCTGGAAACAATGAGGGAACAGCCCCTGCTGCCTTGGCGCCCCCATGGGGAAGTGGGGCTGGGCTTGGTGCTGCAGGTTCTCGAGGGCCAGGCTGGGTGTTTGCCCAGGCTCTGGGCAGCCCGCGCCACCATCCAGCCCCCCCTTGCATGGCCTGAGAGGAACAGTGAGGCTCCTCCAGTGGACAATGCCTTGGCACTTGCCCCAGTCCCTCCCCCTTCTGCCAGGGACCCTCAGATCTGTCCCACTCCTGCCCAGGCCCCCACAGGCACCATTGATGCAAATGATGTAGAGCTAGCCACGCCCACGCCATCCATGCCCACCCAGTAGGCTGCACCCAATTCCAGTCTTTGTTTTACTCATTGTAAAGTAAACTTGCACTTTCTCCCAGGTATTTACAAGAGAACAAAAACCAAGCATGTCTAACATCACTTTTCTTAGGACTGAAACATTATTTGAAAGTCACACATGTAAGGTCTTTCCAAAAGATTATCTCTAAGTCAGTGGTTCTCAACCTTTTTAATGCCGCAACCCCCAACCGGTCAAGGACTATTCAACTGGTTGTAAGTTGAGGACTACTCAACTGGTGCAGCACCGCTTGCAGAATGGGACTTTTGGCGGGCTCAGCAGGGCAGAGACAGCCTGGACAATTCCTATTGGCTTTTGAAAGCCAATAGAATTAGACTCTATTCAAGAGAGTCTATACTATTGGCTTTCAAAAGCCAATAGAATAAAAGGGAGTAGCACAGTAGCACAGATAAGGAAAAGGGGAAAAAAATGGCAGACTGTGTTGTTTGGCGACCCCCGTGAAATGGTTGTTTGACGCCAAATGGGGTCCCAACCCTCAGGTTGAGAACCACTGCAATAAACATGCATTCATGATAGTGTGTGAAATGCATTGTAATATCTGAAGATTAAAAACAGTTTGCCTTCAGAAGTTGTAGGTCTTTCATCACTGGAGATTTTTAAGAAAAGACTGGACTGTCACGTGTCTGAAATGGTACAGGATCTCCTGCTTGAGCAGGGGTAAATCACCAAAGGTCCCTTCCAGTTCTATTATGATTGTCTGATTATTATGAGTAAGAAGTGTTTTCCTGCAGCAATAAACATTAAATTACGTTAAATGGAAAATTCCTTTCAAAACTCCTCTGAACCATTTACAGAAATGGGACAAACCAGTCTTTAAAAAAGAAATGGGGGGGGTGTATCTGTCATAAGATTAAATTGATATATATGATAAACGTAACCTTTATACACCCTTTCAGGTTTTTCAAAAACTCTTGGTGGTATTATCAGCCAAATCTGGTTTCTTTTATCCTGATATTTATGTAAATACAGGCCTAACCTTCCTCTTTATATGACATCATCTCCCACCTTTTTCAAGCTAGTCTGCCTGGAACTTCTCCACTGAGAAAGAAAAAATGATATTTTTGTTCCAACTCATTTCTATTCTAGCAATCATCAAAGGTAATGGCTCTTCCAGACAGAGATGGCAGTTAACAGGCTTCAATAGGCCTGAGGTTCATGGACTGCAGCATGCTGGTTAGTTAGAATGTACATATCAACATTTCCTTTCCAGATGTCCAAATGGAGGTCCAGCTGGTGGAATCTGGAGGGGATGTGAGAAGGCCAGCAGAATCCCTCCATCTCTCCTGCCAAGCTTCAGGCTTCACCTTCAGCAGCTATGAGATGGCCTGGGTGAGACAGGCTCCAGGGAAAGGTCCTGAATGGCTTGCGTGGATAGACAATAATGGAGATGGGAGCAGCCACACTTATGCCAATTCTGTGAAAGGCCGTTTCACCATTTCCCGGCGAGATGCCTCCAGCATGCTTTATCTCCAAATGAACAGCTTGAAACCAGAGGACACAGCTGTGTATTATTGTGCTGGAGACTCACAGTGAGAGGATGTTATGGTGAAGCCTGACAGAATCCCTTATTGGTCAGCTGCAATGCAAGCTGACTCAGCTTTCAGGCCTTAATTAAACAGGGGAAGTTATATCTCCCTGCAGGAAAGTAGAGCAGAACCCCTTTCATTTTCTCTACTGGTGATCTGGAAAAGCTCTAATACTAAAGTAGGTGAGTCAAACTGATCAGTTGTGACCAACTTTCTGTTTGCGAAAACACATGAAGAACTCTTCACTGTTTACTCACAGGAAAAAAAGAACAAAGTATATCTGGGATCACTTTTCATAGGAATTGAGCATTATTTGAAAGACACGTATGCTAAGTCTGTCCAGAAAACCTCTATGTGAATGCACTGAGGGCCTCTTTTATCCCAAGCAATATGTAAATCAGGGCACAATTTCCCCTTTAAAGAAATGCATGGTTTCCCTTTTCAGGCTACACCCACCAACGAAAAGTTTGTGTGCTTTCCCAAATTCTCTACTATCAGTTCTCCTCCATTTATCAGAAGGAGCAAAAATGATCCTGTGGCTTAACTTGGTCTCCTTACTAGCGGTCTTTAGAGGTAATTCTATCTTATATACACAGGTTTTTCCATTTTAATTATTTTATGCAAGAATGTTTGCTAAAAAAAAAAAAACCTTTCATTTTAGGTGTCCGATCCCAGGTCCTATTGGTGGAGTCTGGAGGGGATGTGAGAAGACCTGGAGGGTCCCTCCGTCTCTCCTGCCAAGGTTCTGGATACAACTTTGGTGGCTACAGCATGAGCTGGGTGAGACAGGCTCCGGGGAAAGGACTGGAATGGGTTGCACGCATCTATTCTGATTCCAGTGGAAAGTTCTACTCAGACAAAGTGAAGGGACGCTTCACCATCTCCAGGGACAATGCCAAAAGCCAGCTGTATCTGCAAATGAACAGCCTCAAAGCTGAAGACACAGCAATCTATTACTGTGCTAGATACACAGTGAGAGGAAGTGAATCTGAATCCAGACAAGAACCTTCTGTCCCTTAGAGCAGATCTCCAACTGGATTCAGTCCCAGAAAGTTGAATTTGAGTCTTTGAACTGAGCAGAAGGTGATCAATCTACATCACAGCAATAGACATATTCCATGGATCTGTAGAACACTTTAAGACTTTAAAAACAAATTAGACCCAGATAAATTAAGGAAAATAGAACCCCAAAATAATATTCTCTTCTTGAATTAAAGATGAAAGAACCTCTGCATTTACAGTTACAAGGAATCAGTAATGGTTCATAGAGCTACACAATTACCAGTTGTGAGTTGGGTGTGACAGGCTCCAAGGAATGGAAGAGAATGAATTTTATGATGTCAGTAAATAAATCTATGCAGAATCCATGAAAGAGTGCTTTGCCATCTCTGGTGACAAATCCAACTGCCTTCTGTTTTTTGTTTTTGTTTTCAAATGGACGTCACAAGGAGGCGCAAAACATGTAATAATTTTGACCATGACTGAAATAAAATCTGTGGTTTCAGCTGTGAACATGACTGCTTCTCCAGCTGCTTCCTGGAGAATTAAAATAGTTTCTTGAAGGAAAAAAATAATAATGATTCCTTTGGAAATTAATTCCCCAAAAGTTCTCAAAGTTTTTTAAATATCTTACATAAAAAGCTTCAGTATGTATACCAAAAAAAAAAAAAAAAAGCCCTCATATCTCATTTACTGATTTCATGAATGCTGGTTGATGAGTAAAATGGAAGGTTATTGTTGTTGTTTCATTGACTTTAGAAATAATATTAAAGCCAGAATCATACACATGTACAGTTAGTCCTCATGTTATGACTGTAATTGAACCTGGTAAGTCAGATGGTCATAAAGCAGGACATCATATGATTGCACCTAAATTTACTACCTTTATTGCAGTGAACACAGCAGTTATTAAGCAAGCCCATTTTTTCCCATTGGGCAACTTTTCCGCAATCCAGAAGCCAAAGTAGTTTCCAGAAATAAAAAAGATCATATTCCTTTCACCATGAGGTGCTTCAAATGACTATTGAAAAATGATTTTTCAAAAAAATATATAAAAGAAAAAAATACAAAAAAAGTTTTTGAGACTTTTGAAAAAGTTCAGAGAAGAGAAACTAAGATGAAGAATGGATGCAGAATTTGGGTATGGCTAGTCTAGAGAAAAGAAGAATCAGGGGGGACATGATAGCAGTATCCCAGTATTTGAGGACCTGTCACAAAGAGGAGGGGGTCAATTTATTTTCCAAAACACCAGAAAGCAAAAGAAGACACAATAGATGGAAACTAATCAAGGAGAGAAGTAATCTGGGATTAAGGAGAAACTTCCTTACATTGAGGACAATTAGCCAGTGGAACACCTTGCCTTCAGAAGTTATAGGTGTTTCATCACTGGAGGTTTTTAAGAAGAGACTGGACAGTCATTTATCTGAAATGATATAGAGTTTTCTGCTTGAGCTGTGGGTTGGACTAGAAGACAGCAGGGTCCCTTCCAGCTCTTTTCTGATTGATTAATTGATTGATTGGTTGACTATAAATGTAGGTCAGTTGCTAAGCACCAAAATGCAATCACTTGACTATGGGGAGGCTTCATTACAGAACTACAACTTCAGATTGGTAGGTGGATGGAGTAACTTCACTTGCTAAGATAATAAGTTGAAGACTACTTGTATATCAAAATCAAGGAAAAATTAAGGACAACTCTACTGTCCATTATTGAGAACCCTCCAAAAAAGAAACAACACTTTAAGAAAGTTTAAGAACCTAGATATTTTACCTCTTTAATGTTGCCTGTAATATGTCTACATAAATAGTTCTGTCTAGTTAATTCTGTGTATGCTGTATATGTACTGATATATCAGGCTATTAGAATCATCCCTGGAAGTGATGAATATTCCTTCCCTGTATCTAATTAATAAAACAAGTCATGCTTATATAAAAATATAAGAGTTATTGCAGCATTTTTTTTATGTCAAAGTTCTCACCCCAAGTAAAATGTGCTGAATTATCAGTTTTTTACTTGACTTTGAAAAGTAGTTTGTTTGGTTTTTTTTGGGGGGGGGGAGAAAGCTCTCCTTTTCATTGTTTTATCAAGTCGGCAAAATCTCCCCTTCATTCTGATAAACATTCCTGTTTCTCCTTCTCTGCTATTCTAGACAATTGCTAACCATCACCAAAATATATCTTCAATAGATGTCCAAGAAATTGAGAAAAAGAAAGGAATGAGAAGGCTTTTTATTTTGAGGGATATGTAAATTGCAGGATGGCTTCCTCTCTAAATAAGCCAGACCACTTTTGTCCCCAGGTTGCAAACAGAAATATAAAGGGTAGCTGGATGTTTGAATGCTTTTCATACCATCTCCCATCCAAGTGCACAAAAAATGATACCTTGGTTCTATTTGTCATATTTAGTAGCAGTTCTCAGAGGTAATTATTCTTATTCATACACCACATTCTTACATTTCTCTCTTTTTGTATGCAACATAACTGGGAAATTATTATTTTTTTCCAGGTATCCAATCTGAGGTCCAGTTGGTGGAATCTGTTGGGGATGTGAGAAGACCTGGAGAGTCCCTCCATCTGTCCTGCCAAGCATCAGGATTCAACTTTGGTGGGAGTAACATGAACTGGCTGAGGCAAACCCCAGGAAAAGACCCAGAATGGGTGGCATGGATACAAAGTGATGGAAGAGAAACCTACTACTTGAACAAAGTGAAGGGATGCTTCACCATCTCCAGAGACAATGCCAAAAGCCAGATGTATCCGCAAATGAACAGCCTGAAACAAGAAGACACAGCATTCTATTATTGTGCAAGATACACAGTGGGAGGAAGAGAAACTGAAACCATCTCATATACCAGCAATACAGCCTTTCCCTTGCTGCTCTACAGTGGGACACAAACCAAACACCTGAAAGACACACAAACACAGAATAAAACAGAAATAATTCTCTATCTCTTCCCCCTCCCCACATTAGGACACTGGGTAGCAGTGCCAAAGCTGTGACTGAAGTCAATGTCTGGCTTTCAACTTGAATCAGAATAGAGCTGGGAGGGATATTGGTTCATAAAAACTTCCAATATTGGAGCACCTACAACATCTGGAGGCAGGTCTTTCCATTGGTTAATTGTTCTAACTGTCAGGAAATTCTTCCTTAGTTCTAGGATGTTCTGTCCTTGATTGGTTTCCACTCATTGCTTCTTGTTCTGGCTTCAACCTTTTTTTTAAAAGAGTGATTAATACTTGCATCCAAAGTATACATCTCATTTGTTTAAACGATTTTCCGCTTATCTCCCTTTTTTCATGCCCCTTGGAAATTTAATCCTTAAGTTGGAACAGAAAAAAACTATTTTCAATGTAATACTTATTTGCAGTGCTTTTTTTTCTAAAAAAAAAAAAAAGTGCTGGAACTCAGACACGTCATACAAACCGCCTTGCCTACCCTACAAGATTCCATCCAAAAAAAAAAGTGCCAGAATTCCATTCTGGGCATTCTATGAGAAAAAAAGCCCTGGTTATTTGCATTGATTTCTCAATTCAGTTTGAAACATCAGAAAAAAAACTATAGAAATAAATAAGATGTGGAAATGGTATTTCACATTATCTTTTTTATTCAAGATTTTATTGCATTGTTATCTTACTCCACTTTTAGAACTTGTTAAATTTCTTTATCAGTTTTTATATGGTGCCCACTTAATGATTCCATGTTGATCATCGAGCACAACATAAGCAGTAAAAACAGGCACTCTTATCAATGCCTAATTTTTATAATGCTTCAATAAAAGTCAATAAAGGAAATTACTATAAAAATACATGTATTAATGATTGTGTTTGAAATACATTCTAATATATGAGGATTAATTATATGAATAAAGCCTTAAATTACATTCAATGGAAGATTCCTTTTAAAAGTCCATTGAACCATATACAGTAATGGGATGAACTGGTCTTTAGATAATGCAGAACCTGTCATAAAATTGTTAATTCATACAGTATGGTGAACATTATGTTTATACACCCTTTCAGGTTTTTTAAAAACTTTTGCTGATATTAAAAGACAACACTGGTCCCTTTTATCCTGAAGTGTATGTAAATACAGGCCTAACCTTCCTCTATATATGACATCATCTCCCACCCTCCTCAACCTGAAGAGCAGAAGCTAGCCTGCCTGGAACTTCTCCACTGAGAAAGAAAAATGATATTTTTTTTCCAACTCATTTCTATTCTAGCAATCATCAATGGTAATGGTTCTTCCACAAAGAGATGGAAGCTAAAAGGCTCCAATATGTTTGAGGTTCATGGACTGCAGCATGCTGGTTAGTTAAAATATACATATCATTATTTCCTTTCCAGATGTCCAAATGGAGGTCCAGCTGGTGGAATCTGGAGGAGATGTGAGAAGGCCAGGGGAGACCCTCCATCTCTCCTGCCAAGCTTCAGGCTTCACCTTCAGCAGCTATGAGATGGCCTGGGTGAGACAGGCTCCAGGGAAAGGACTGGAGTGGGTTGCATGGATAGAAGATGATGGAGATGGGAGCAGCCAATACTATGCCAATTCTGTGAGAGGCCGATTCACCATTTCCCGGCATGATGCCTCCAGCATGCTTTATCTCCAAATGAACAGCTTGAAATCAGAGGACACGGCTGTGTATTATTGTGCTAGAGACGCACAGTGAGAGGAAGCTATGGTGAAGCTTGACAAAATCTCTCATTCTTCATGGCTGCTGTCCAAATCCTTCATTCTTCATGGCTGCTGTCCAAGTTGAATCAGTTTCCACGCTCTGAATCAAAAAGAAAGGAAGTTAGCTCTTCATGCAGAAAAGAATATACATTGATTCAGGAAATATAGAGTATGAAACTTGGATAAAGTGGAAGGGCATTTCAGCATCTCTAGGAATGATACCAACTTCAGTAAGTGAAAAGCCTCAAAGATGGGGACACCACAAAAATGCTGATAGACACAGACTTTAATGTAATGTCTTCATGATGCTAGAACTCTGTCAATTTTTCATTATATTTCTGAAAAGATACTGGATTCCACAGGTTAATGTTTTGTTTCACCTCTCTCTCTCTCTCTCTCTCTCTCTCTCTCTCTCTCTCTCTCACACACACACACACACACACACACACTCACATACAAACACACACACACTCAAGCACACACAGACAGAGTTACTATGTGAAGAAAGCTGTTTACTCAATGATGAGCAGATAACAATAGACAAGCAAGGGAATATCAATCAACAAAGTTTCTTGGAAAGAAAGGGTGTCTAAAAGGTTTTGCTTTCAACAGGAAACACAAACAGAAGTGATCAAAATCCAGTTGACATTCAGAGAACAGTCAGATTTGTCTGAAAATTTAATTTCATAATTTTACAGACAAGATTCATAGTAATGACAGGCCAGAATAGGAAATCAGATGGTTGTTTCCAATTAAGAAACATGGATTGGGGCTGCCCCTTAAACCAGGCTGTTGCCGGCAATCTTTAATTAAAAAAGATACTTCCCAGCTTGGCAAGGAGCTACATTCAGCATCTTTGCATCTATAATGTATTGCAACTCATGTTTTTTTTCTCTTATCTTGAAATTCAAATCTAATTAATACAATTAAAAGAGAAAAAAAACTAATTTAATGGATAAAATAAATCATGGTTATGTAAAAAATATTGTGAAGCCATGATCTGAAATTACAACAAATAGATTGCTTAGATGTATAACAAAGTGAATTTCTTGGAAAATAAAAAAGGTTATTTGGAATCTTCTCATTCAACACAGAGAACATTTCGCACATAACATTTGATTTTTTTTTCTTTTTGAGTTAGGTGGACCTTACAACTATGGATTACAAATTATTCACTGCAAATTGTTCACCATTGAAAGAAAGAAAGAAAGAAAGAAAGAAAGAAAGAAAGAAAGAAAGAAAGAAAGAAAGAAAGAAAGAAAGAAAGAAAGAAAGAAATGATGGATGGAAGGAAGGGAGAGAGGGAGGGAGGGATGGTGTAGGAAATCTTCTAAAGCCAATGTAGTTAGGAGATTAAATTCTACATTAATTCATTTTTGAGAAGTGGTGGAATGGGTCAAGTCTTTCTTTTACTTACTCTAATATAAATCTGCCCTTTCTCCTATATATTCACAGAAAAACCAGAAGAAAGCATGTGAGGCATCACTTTACTTAAGAACATTACTTGAAAATCACATCGGTAAGGTCTGTCCAAAAAACATTTCTAACTGAATGCACTGAAGTGCTCTTTTATCCCAAGCAATATGTAAATCAGGGCACAATTTCCTCTTTAAAGGAGTTGTGTGTCTTCCTTTTTCAGGTTACACCCACCAAGACAAATTTCTGCACTTTCCCAAATCTTCTACCATCTACTCTCCTCCACTCATTACAGGAAGCAAAAATGATCCTGTGGCTAAACTTGGTGTCCTTACTAGCAATCCTCAGAGGTAATTCTATCCTCGGTATTCAGGTTTTTTCCCATTTTAATTATTGTACACTGTAAAATTCACTGAAACACCTTTCCTTTTAGGTGTCCAATCTGAGGTTCAGTTGGTGGAGTCTGGAGGGGATGTGAGAAGACTTGGAGGGTCCCTCCGTCTCTCCTGCCAAGGATCTGGCTACAGCTTTGCTGGCTACAGCATGGATTGGGTGAGACAGGCTCCAGGGAAAGGACTGGAATGGGTGGCATACATCCGCTATGACAGCACTAGTATTCACTACTCAGACAAAGTGAAGGGACGCTTCACCATCTCCAGGGACAATGCCAAAAGCCAGCTGTATCTGCAAATGAACAGCCTCAAACCAGAGGACACCGCAGTCTATTACTGTGCAAGACACACAGTGAGAGGAAGTGAATCTGAAGCCAGACAAGAACCTTCTCTTGCTCAGAGCAAGTGGATTCAGTCACAGAAATTTGAATTTGAGTCTTTCAAATTGAGGAGTAGATTATCAATCTACATCATAGCGGTAGAATATTCCATGCATCAGTAGAATATTTTAAGACTTAAAAAATAAATTAGACCCATATAAATTAGTGAAAATAGAACCCCAAAGTAATATTCTCTTCTTGAATTGAAGGTAAAAAGAACCTCTACATTTAAAGTTACAAGGAAGCAGTAACAGCACATAAAGCTCACAATAATGAGTTGCGAGTTTGAGTGTGATAGGCTCCAGGGAATGGAAGAGAATGAATTGTATGATGTCAGTAAACAAATCTATGCAGAATCCATGAAAGAGTGCTTTGCCATCTCCAGTGACAAATCAAACTGCCTTCTGTTTTTTTTTTTCCAATGGATGTCAGAAGGAGGTGCAAACACATAATATTTTTGACCATGACTGAAATAAAACCTGTGGTTTCAGCTGTGAACTTGGCTGCTTCTCCAGCAGCTTACTGGAGAATTAAAATAGTTTCTTGAAGGAAAAAAAAAATAATGGTTCTTTGAGAATTTCATTCTCCAAGAGTTCTTTTTTTTATTTAAAAGTTTTATAAATTTATTACAATATAAACCCCTCCACCCCTTCCGACCTCCCCCACTTACCAGAGCTGATTACAGGATAAAAAATAAAATAAACAAACATAATCTAACTAACATTAATCAAGTATACTATCAATCAAAACCATAACACACTTTAACTCCTTCTCCCAATAAATATTAACAAATTAAGTCAAATAATAAAATAATTAAAACTAATAATAATTATCTAAAATCTACTCAAAAGCAAGATAATACTTTTCAATCTCATATTTCTTCTGAATGTAATCAATCCATCTTCTCCGAACCATAATGTAATTTTCTTGTGAGTGATCCTTAAAATAGGCGGAGATTTTCACCATGTCTGCTAAATTAGACACTTTAAGTATCCATTCTTCCAAAGTAGGCAATAAGTTTTTCTTCCAATATTGCCCCACCAGTAATCTTGCAGCTGTTATAAGGTTCAACATCAAATTAGTTTCTTTCTCCAAGAGTTCTTAAAACCTCTTAAATATCAAGCTTCAGTATGTATAGCAAAAAAAAAATCCCTCCTATGATATTTCCATATTGCATGTATGCTGGTTGATAAACAAAAGGTTATTGTTGTTGCTTCTTTGATTTTAGGCAGTTATAGCATTAAAGTTAGAATCATATGATATTTACAAGTGGTGTTTGAGTTACGACTATAGGTGAGCCCGGTAAGTCATTAAGTGGGTCACCACATGAATGGACCCAAATTTAGTACCTTTGCTGCAGTGAACACAGCAGTCATTAAGGAAGCCCATTGTTTGCTATGGGGCATGTCTTATAACACCGCCCTATGTATAACACAGCCAGAATTAAATTACTGTCTTTCCTTGGAATTGATCCCTCTGGTTCTAATGTTAGTAATTTGGTCTTACATTGTCTAGGGGATGACGTCTCCTATATTACTTCTCAGGTTTTTAAATTTCTTTCAAGAGCTGTAGCTATTAGAGGAGAACCTTGTAATTCCCTTTAGCCAAGGCTTCTGGTATTAACTGTGATTGTATTTTTCTTGTGTTTTCTTTTGTTGCACTTGCATTTTGGTCTGTGACTGTAAAATAAAAATTATTATTATAAGGAAGCCCATTGTTTGCTATGGGGCAATTTTTCCACAATCCAGAAGCCAAATCTGGACAGCTTCCTGTCTGAAATGGTATAGGGTCTCATTCCTGAAGAGGGGCTTGGACTAGAAGACCTACAAGGTCTCTTCCAACTCCATTGTGATTGGATACTAAATAAAATAAGTCATTGTCCTATCTCCATTAGATGCTTCACATGACCATAAATATGGTTGAGTTGCTGAGTACCAAAAATGCTCATAGCATGACTTTGGGGAGGGTCTCCATTTCAGGACTTCAAACCTGAGTCATAGGTAGGTTTGGGGATGGGCGAAGTAACTTCAAAGATTGCTAAGATACTGGTCATAAAATCAATGATCCATCAAGGACAACTTTATTGTCCATTATTGGGAATCCTCAAAAAAAGAAGGAACACTTTAAGAAAGTTTAAGAACCTAGATGTTTCATCTCTTTAACAATGTATGTAATTGAGTCAACATAAATAATTCTGTCTAGCTGATTCTATATAGCAGTACATTTACAGATACAGCTGGCTATTAGAATTATCTCCGGAGGTGATGAAATATCCTTTCCAGTTCTGGATTGCGGCGCCTCTAGTTGTACGAAGAGACTGCTCCCTTCATCAGCTAGTTTCCCTCCTCCGGTAGACACTTATGTGGGTCGAAAGTCTCCCTGGAGGGCGCGACTACTGTCGAGTAGGCTTTGCTCGGCTGCGGAGGAGCAACGGCTCCTCCAGCTGTCCGAGCTATCTCTAAGGGCCGACGAAGAAAAAGATGGGCCAGTAAAATGAAATTCAATCACTATTCCCTGTTTAGAATAGGAGAAATTAAACCTGTTATCTGTACTCCATCTGTTTATCACAAGAGGGCAACCTTCTCTGTAAAATCCCACTGCATATTATTCTCCACAGTTTTTCTTGAAAAATTGCATGGTTGGAACTGCTCCCTATAGCCTTCCTTTCTTAAATATAATCCTAACTGAACTGGTTTTAGGATGCAGTGGACTTTATTCATTTTTCTCATTTTACCAGGACTCCACTTCAACACCATATGATTTTTCACTTTTTCTTTACTGCCTGTTACGTCCTTGCCATCTTCTCTCTTTAGTGGACTGACTATCCTTCACTTTTTTCTTGTAATTTACATATTATATGTTAGTTATATTTATATAACTTCTTGGAGGTACAATGAATTCTTAAGTTGGAACAGAAAAAAAAAACTATTTTCAATGTAATAGTTATTTGGACTGTTTCCTCAATTCAGTTTGAAACATCAGAAAAAAACTGATAGAATATAGAAATAAATAAGATGTGGAGGTGGTATTTCACATTATTATTTTTTATTCAATATTTTATTGCATTGTTATCTTACTCCACTTTTAGAACTTGTTAAATTTCTTTGTCAGTTTTTATATGGTGCCCACTTAATGATTCCATGTTGATCATCGGGCATAACATAAGCAGTAAAAATAGGCACTCTTATCAATGCCCAATATTGGTAAGGCTTCAATAAAGGAAATTAATATAAGAATAAGAACTTAATCTTCATACAGCCTTTCAGGTTTTTCAAAAACTCTTGGAGATATTAAAAGCCAACGCTGGTTCCTTTTTATCCTGAAGTGTATGTAAATACAGGCCTAACCTTCCTCTTTATATGACATCATCTCCCACCCTCCTCAACCTGAATAGAAAAAGCTAGTCTGTCTGGAACTTCTCCACTGAGAAAGAAAAATGATATTTTTGCTCCACATACTCTCCATTTTAACAATCATCAAAGGTAATGGTTCTTCCATAAAGAGATGGCAGCTAACAGGCTCCAATATCCTTGAGGTTCATGGACTGCAGCATGCTGGATAGTTAAAATGTACATATCAATATTTCCTTTACAGATGTCCAAATGGAGGTCCAGCTGGTGGAGTCTGGAGGAGGATGTGAGAAGTCCTGGAGGGTCCCTCCGTCTCTCCTGCCAAGCTTCAGGCTTCACCTTCAGCAGCTATGAGATGAACTGGCTGAGACAGGCTCCAGGGAAAGGCCTGGAATGGCTTGCGTGGATAGATAACCCTGGAGATGGGAACACCCAATACTATGCCAATTCAGTGAAAGGCCGTTTCACCATCTCCAGGCACGATGCCTCCAGCATGCTTTATCTCCAAATGAGCAGCTTGAAACCAGAGGACACGGCTGTGTATTATTGTGCTAGAGAATCACACAGTGAGAAGAAGCTATGGTGAAGCTTGACAAAATCCCTCATTCTTCATGGCTGCTGTCCAAGTTGAATCAGCTTCCATGCTCTGAATCAAAAAGAAAGGAAGTTAGCTCTTCATGCAGAACAGAACATACATTGATTCAGGCAATATAGACCAGGGCTTTTGAACCTTTTCACCTATTATACCACTTTTAGGATATGGCAACATCCGAGTACCACCAGTCACCTAGCAAGGTGTCAAAAATTTGACGACCACCCAAAAAAGAAAAAAAAAAGGATGAAGTACAAGTAGTCCTCGACTTACAATAGTTCACTTCGTGACTGTTTGAAGTTACAATGGCACTGAAAAAAGTGCCTCCCAAGCCACAGCCTAGCAAGACACCTGCCTGCCTGCCTGGTGGCGCTCTTCCTACTGTCCGAGGTTTTCATTGTTGTGAGCATTTCTGTTGGGGATTGACAGCGGGGGTGGGGTGGGGGAGGTATTTGGTTTTTATTCCCCCCGTCTGCTGGGTGGTTGCAGCAGGTTTTGGTCACTTCACATGACTCTGGGACACTGTGACCGTCATAAATATGAATCAGTTGCCAAGCATCTGAATGTAAATCACAAGACCCTGGAGGTGCTGCAACATTCCAGCTGATTGGCGCTTCTTCTGGGCTCAGCAGAAGTTCCTGGATCAGTGCAGCTTTCCAGCTGATTGGTGCTTCTTCAGGGCTCAGTTGGAGCCTGGCACTGATCTTGGCACTTCCACTGAGCCCTGACAGCCCCGAAGAAGTGCCGATCAGCTGGAAAGCAGCACTGATCCTGGCGCTTCCTCTGAGCGCTGACAGCCCTGCAGCTCCAGCCATTTCTCTCTCAAGCTTGTGTGGTGCTGCCATCGGTTCAGCTCATTCCCCTCCCGCACTACCATTTTTCTAGGATGGTTGCGTATCACCTGCCAAGTGCCAATGTACCACAGGTGGTACCTGTACTAATGGTTGAAAACACCTGATATAGACTGTTAAACCAGGAAACAGCATCTCTAGGAATGATACCAACTTCCTTAAGTGATTTACATGTTATATGTTAGTTATATTTATATAACTACTGGGAGGCACAATGAACTCTTCTACATATCTTTTATTGCAGGATTTGAAAGATTATGGAGGAGCATGTGTCAAGGTGGTTTCTACACTCTACACTTGAACTGATGGAGGTTTGTTTGATTGATTCAAAATTGTCTTTCCAAGCCATGCACTCCATACTTTTATGAAATTTAGGAGATATAACATTCTCCTCCTTTTCCTTCCCCTAAAAAATTGTAGCAGAGTTACTAATCAAAATCAGCTTTAGTTGTACTGTCGCTTTTCTTAAGAGATCTCTGTAGATCTCGTGGAATTCAATCACTCTCCTGAGGGTAATTTCCCTGTTTAGAATAGGAGAAATTAAACCTGTTATCTGTACTCCATCTGTTTATCACAAGAGGGCAGCCTTCTCTGTAAAATCCCACTGCATATTATTCTCCACAGGTTTTCTTGAAAAATTGCAAACCAAAGAACAGTTCCCCATAACCCTCCTTTCTTAAAAGTAGTCCAAACTGAGTTGGTTTTAGGATGCAGTGGACTTTATTCTTTTTTCTCATTTTACCGGGACTCCACTTGACAAAACATGATTTTTGACTTGTCTCTTCTAAGATATTGAGATGAACAAAAGAATGATGGATGGGTAGTATATCCATGCAGCCAAGCTCTGTCACAATTGTTTGTCTGAAAGATTATATCTTCTAAGGCATCGTAGGAAGAGAAAATCATGCAGCCAATGCATTTTATCAATCAATTAAACAGTTTGATCTTGGGCCTTCAAAATGTGTGATATACATTGATATTTCTGTTAAGAGAATACCTGAGTTAGAAGAGACTTTGGGGGGGGGGTCTTCTAATCTAACCCCCTGCTCAGGCAGGAAACCCTATACCATTTCACACAAATGGTTCATAAAAACATCCAGTGTTGTAGCACCCACAACATCTGCAGGCAGGTCTTTCCACTGGTTAACTGTTCTCACTGTCAGGAAATTTCTCCTTAGGTCTAGGTTGGTTCTCTCCTTCATTAGATTCTACCCATTGCTTCTTGTTCTGGCTTCAAGCTTTTTTTAATTGAGCCTGATTAATAATTTGCCTCCAAAGTATATATCTCATTTGTTTAAATGATTTCCCCCTCATTCCCCCTTTTTAATGTCCCTTGGGAACTTAAGTTTCAAGTTGGAACAGAAAAAACAATTTTCGCTATCATAAATTTATCTGCATTAATTTCTCGGTTCAGTTTGTAACATCAGAAAAAAAAAAACACTACCAAAATAAATAGGAGGTGGAGGTGGTGTTTTAGACTATTAATGATTTATTAAACATTTGATTACATTTTTATCTTATTCCACTTTTGGAAGTTGTTACATTTCTTAGTTTATCAATTTTCATATTTTCCCCATTGAATGATTCAATGTTGATGATGGGGCATAACATAACTTGTAAAAACAGGTGCTCTTATCAATGCCCAATTTTGGTAAGGCTTCAATAAAAGTCAATAAAGAAAATTACTATAAGAATACATGTATTTATGGTAGCATTTGAAATTAATTCTAATACATGGGGATTAAAATATGAATTAAAAGAGTGTTCTGCTGTAACAATGGACCTTAAATTCCATTCAATGGAAGATTCCTTTCAAAAGTCCATTGAACCATATACAGAAATGGGACGAACTGGTCTTTAAATAATGCAGAACCTGTCATAAAATTGTTAATTCATATAGTATGGTGAACATTATCTTTATACACCCTTTCAAGTTTTTCAGAAACTCGTGCTGATATTAAAAGACAACACTGCTCCCTTTTATCCTGAAATGTATGTAAATACAGGCCTAAACTTCCTCTTTATATGACATCATCTCCCACCCTCCTCAACCTGAAGAGCAGAAGCTAGTCTGCCTGGAACTTCTCCACTGAGAAAGAAAAATGATATTTTTGTTCCAACTCATTTCTGTTCTAGCAATCATCAAAGGTAATGGCTCTTCCAGACAGATACAGAACTAAGAGGCTCCAATATGCTTGAGGTTCACGGATAGCAACATGCTATATAGTTAAAATGTACATATCAATATTTCCTTTCCAGATGTCCAAATGGAGGTCCAACTGGTGGAATCTGGAGGAGATGTGAGAAGGCCAGGGGAGTCCCTCCATCTCTCCTGCCAAGCTTCAGGCTTCACCTTCAGCAGCTATGAGATGGCCTGGGTGAGACAGGCTCCAGGGAAAGGACTGGAGTGGGTTGCATGGATAAACGATGATGGAGATGGGAGCAACCAATACTATTGCAATTCTGTGAGAGGCCGTTTCACCATCTCCAGGCACGATGCCTCCAGCATGCTTTATCTCCAAATGAGTAGCTTGAAACCAGAGGACACTGCTGTGTATTATTGTGTTAGAGAAGCACAGTGAGAAGAAGCTATGGTGAAGCCTGACAAAATCACTCATCGTTCATGGCTGCTGTCCAAGTTGAATCATCTTCCATGCTCTGAATCAAAAAGAAAGGAAGTTAGCTCTTTGTGCAGAACAGAATATACATTGATTCAGGCATTATAGACTATTACACTATGCAACAGCATCTCTAGGAATAATACCAACTTCTGTAAGTGAAAAGCCTCAAAGATGGGGACACCACAAAAATGCTTGATCTAGTGTCTTCATGATGCTAGAATATCAAAATATACAATATTCAGTATCTTTATAAGTTTTTCATTACATTCCTGAAAAGATGCCAGCAAAGATTCCACAGGTTATTGTCTTGTTTCATCTCTGTCTCTGTCTTTCTCTGCTCTCTCTCTCTCTCTCTGTGTGTGTGTGTGTGTGTCTCTGTCTCTGTCTCTGTCTCTCTCTCTCTCTCTCTCTCTCACACACACACACACACACAGAGAGAGAGAGAGAGAGAGAGAGAGAGAGAGATTCTATGTGAAGAAAGCTGTTTACTTAATGATGAGCAGATATCAGCAAACAAGGGAATGTCAATCAACAAACTCTGCACCAAGTGGAAGATCAAACAGGTTCCTGGCAAACCTAGCAGACAACTTTGTCTCCTGAAAAGTAGAGACACGAACTAGCAAATTAGCCATTTTGGATCTAATTGTCACTAACAGAGATGAAACGATAGAAGGTGTTGAAGCCATAGGAATCCTGGGAGGAAGTTATCATGCAATATTGGAATTCAACATTATGGAAGCACAAGCAATAAAACACAGTCAAACTGGAGTCTTGGACTTCAAGAGAGCTAATTTCAATAAACTTAGAAAGAGCTTGGGAAAGATTCCATGGATGAGAATCCTCAAGGGGAAAACAACTCAGGAAGCTTGAGAAATTTTGAAAAATGAGATAATAAAAGCCCAATCTAGTACAATACCAACAAAGAGGAAGAATAACAGCTCTCAAAAGAAACTAGCATGGCTGCATAAAGAACTCTCTGGCAAATTGAAAGATAAAAAGGACAAGTATTGAAAGTGGAAAGAGCTGCTGGAATGGCTGCTGGAATTGGGTATGTCTAGTTTAATGAAGAGAAGGACAAGGGGGCATATGACAGCAGTGTTCCAATATCTCAGGGGCTGCCACAAAGAAGAGGGTGTCAAGCTATTTTCCAAGGTGCCTGAAGGCAGGACAAGAAGCAAAGGGTGGAAACTAAGCAAGGAGAGAAGCAACCTAGAACTAAGGAGAAACTTCCTGACAGTTAGGACAATTAACCAGTGAAAAGACCTGCCTCCAGAAGTGGTGAATGCTCCAACACTGGAAGTTTTTAAGAAGAGACTGGACAGCCATTTGTCTGAAATGGTATAGGGTTTCCTGCCTGAGCAGGGTGTTGGACTAGATGATCTCCAAGGTCCCTTCCAACTTTATTACTACTACTACTACTACTACTATTATTATTATTATTATTATTATTATTATTATTATTATTATTATTATTATTATTATTATAACAAAGTCTCTTGGAAAGAAAGGTTGTTTAAATGATTTTGCTTTCAACAGGAACACACACAGGAGTGCTCAAAATCCAGTTGAAATTCAGAGAACAAAGTCAGATTTGTCAGCAAATACGATCTCAGAATTTTACAGACATGATTCGCAGTAATGACAAATCAGAACAGGAAATCAGATGGTTGTTTCCAATGAAGAAACATGGATCAGCGCTGCCTCTTAAATAAAACTGTACCCAGGAGTCTTTAATTTAAAAAGATACTCCCCAGCTTGGCAAGGAGCTACATTCAGCATCTTTGCATCCATAATGTACTGCAACTCATGGTTTTTCTCTTACTTTGAAATCCAAATCTAATTAATTCAATTAAAAGGAAAACAAACTAATTTAATGAATAAAGTAAATCATGGTTATGTCCAAAATATTGTGAAGCTGGGTCTGAAATTACAACAAATATATATCTTAGAGGTATAACAAAGTTAATTTCTTGGACAATAAAAAGGGATTTTTTTTTTGAACTTTCTCATTCAACGAAGAATTATGAGGGACATAATTATTTGATTTTTTTTTCTTTTTGAGTTAGGTGGACCTCACAACTGTGGATTACAAATTGTTCATGAAGGCTTACTCAAGGAAGAAAGAAAGAAAGAAAGAAAGAAAGAAAGAAAGAAAGAAAGAAAGAAAGAAAGAAAGAAAGAGGAAGGAAGGATTTTAAGGAGATTAAATTCTCTACTATATTAACTCATTTTTGAGAAGTGGTTGAATTGATCAAATTTTTGTTTTACTTACTCTAAAGTAAACCTTTCCTTTCTCCTATGTATCCAGAAGAAAACCAGAACAAAGCATGTGTGACATCACTTTTCTTACAACTAGAACATCATTTGAAAATCACACATGTAATATTTCTAATTGAATGCACTGAGGGCCTCTTTTATCCCAATCAATATGTAAATCAGGGCACAATTTCCCCTTTAAAAGAAGTACATGGTTTCCCTTTTCAGGCTACACCCACCATCACAAAGCTCGTGCACTTTTTCAAATCTTCTACTTCAGTTCCCCTCCATTCATTAGAGACAGCAAAAATGATGCTGTTGGCTAAACTTGGTGTCCTTTCTAGCAATCCTCAGAGGTAATTCTACTGTATTTAGCTTTTTCCATTTTAAACTGTTTCCATCTTGTAAACTGGAAAGCTTGCTGAAACAACTTTCATTTTAGATTTCCGATCTCAGATCCTATTGGTGGAGTCTGGAGGGGATGTGGGAAGACCTGGCCAGTCCCTTCGTCTCTCCTGCCAAGCCTCAGGATTCAACTTTGATGACTACAGCATGCACTGGGTGAGACAGGCTCCTGGGAAAAGACTGGAATGGGTGGCATACATCCGCTATGACAGCATAGTATTCACTACTCAGACAAAGTGAAGGGACGCTTCACCATCTCCAGGCAAACCAAAAGCCAGCTGTATCTGCAAATCGAACAGCTCAAACCAGAGGCCACCGCAGTCTATTACTGTGCGAGAGACACAGTGAGAAAGAAATAAATCTGAAGCAGGACCAAGAAACCTTCTCTTGCTCAGTAGAAGTGATTCAGTCACAGAATTTGAATCGAGTCTTTAATGAGGAGTAGATTATCAATCTAACATCATAGCAGTAGAAATATTACATGGATCAGTAGAAATTTTAAGACTAAAAAATAAATTAGACCATATAAAATTAGGGAAAAATAGAACCCAAAGTAATGTTCTCTTCTTGAATGAAGGTTGAAATTTAAAGTAAAGGAAGCAGTAATAGTTCATAGAGCTCACAATACGAGTTGTGAGAGGGTTTGTGACAGGCTACAGGGAATGACTAGAATGGATTGTATGATGCTAATAAACAAAAAGTCTATGCAGAATCCATGAATGAGGTCACCATTGCTACCTCAGAGGACACATCCAACCTCAGAAGGAAGCACAAACACCACCATAAATATTTTGACCATGAACTGATGAAATAAATCTGGTGGTATTTCAGCTGTAAACATGACTGGCTTTTTCAGCTGCTTGCTGTGAGAATAAAAGAGATGTTGAAGGAAAAACATAGAAAGTCCTTTGAGAATTTAATTCCCCAAGAGTTCTCAAAACTTCACTTTAATATCACTTCCTTAGCATGTATAGCAAAAAAAAAAAAATGAAATACCAGGAAATACTCATTGTGTAGAATCAACCTGGAATTGAGAGAAGAACCGGAAACCTCTGTCTCAATCTGGACTAGAAGAATCACTTGTTGGAATTGTGCAGAGAAGATCTGGAGAGACATCTATTGGGATGTTTTGTAGTAAATGGACTACAAGTCAGCTAATTCATTGCATGATGTTTTTGAGATTTAAGAGCCAAAATGAGAATCCCCATGACCCCCGAGATTATTAAAATAAGCCTGTTATCTGGAGGGATATGTAATCTGTGGCACGTTCCTCTTTAATGAGCCAATGTAACTTTTCTCAGGCCAGAAACCCATCAACATAACTCGGTGGATGCCTCCCATGCTTTTTCCACTTATCTTTTGGACAGCAAAGTTATTTGGCCAACATCCTTGCTTTTAGGTCAGTTGTCTACAGGTAATTATCCACTGTAGCATTCTTTGAACATCTTATTTTTCAGTAAATTCACAGGGCTAAGAAGTATTTCCTTTCCAGGTGCCCAATCTGAGTTCCAAAGATTGAGTTTGTTGGGGATGTGAGAAGACCGGGAGTCACTTCATCTTATTCTGCCAAGCCTCTGGCAAAAATTTCACTTCAGTGATACAGCATGCATTGGATGCGGAAGGTTCATGGGAAAGGGCCAGTATGGGTGCACATTATACGCATGATTCTACATCTTTTCACTATTACTGATGAAGTCAAGGTCGCTTCACCATATCCAAGGACAATGACAAAGAAGCAGCTGCATCTGCAAATGAACAGCCTGAAGCTGGTAAGACACAGCTGTCTATTACTGTACAAGAGACACAGTGAGACGAAATGCTTTGAAAGGCTTCTTAAGGGCACTGGAGGCTAAAACATATGAAGAATGGTTGCAGGAAATGAAAGTGTGATGAAAGTGTGATGATCTAGTGTGATGAAAAGAAGGATAGGGGAGACATGATAGCAGTGTTCCAATATCTGAGGAGCTGCCACAAAGAAGAGGAGATCAACCTATTCTCCAAAGCCCCTGAAGGCAGGACAAGAAGCAACAGGTAGCAGTATTCCAATATCTCAGGGCTGCCATAAAGAAGAGGGAATCAAGCTATTTTTCCAAAGCACCTGAAGGCAGGACAAGAAGCAACGGGTGGAAACTAATCAAGGAGAGAAGCAACCTAGAACTAAGGAGAAACTTCCTGACAGTGAGAACAATTAATCAGTGGAACAGCCTGCCTCCAGAAGCAGTAAATGCTCCAACACTGGAAGTTTTAAGAAGAGACTGGACAGCCATTTGTCCGAAATGGTGTAGGGTTTCCTCCCTGAGCAGGGGGTTGGACTAGATGACCTCCAAGGTCCCTTCCAACTTTACTACTATTACTAGGTGGAAACTAATCAAGGAGAGACGCAACCTAGAACTGAGGAAAAATTTTCTGACAATGAGAACAATTAATCAGTGGAATGACTTGCCTCCAGAACTTGTAGGTGCTCCAACACTGCAAGTTTTTAAGAAGAGATTGGACAACCATTTTTCTGAAATGGTATCCATTTTCCTACTTGAGCAGGAGGTGGGCTAGAAGATCTCCAAGGTCCCTTCCAACTCTAATATTCTGTTATTCTGAAACCAAGAAAGAATCTTCTCTTCCCCTGAGCAGTTCTCTAAGATAATTCATTAAAATGATGTTGAATTGGAAGACCAGAATTAAGAATCATACAGTCTTGAATTGACCAAGTGATTAAGTGCCACCTAGTTTGTTATCACCCATTAGTGACCACATAGATAAATTTTCTCCAGATTTAGGATAAACAATAAGACTCATCTCTCACAACTCCAAAAGTCTCCTGAAGATCTTTCCAGGCTTAGTTTCCCTAGGATAATATCATTAGTATATCCTCAAACTTCATACAGCATCTATATATTTATTTTCTCAGCTCATTAAGAGTGTGGTTGGCCACAATGTTATCACACTGATTCTGAGATATATTTTGCTCACTTGAATGATTCTATGTTGACCATGGGGAATGCCATTTCCTATAAAAGCATTTTCTTCTTCTAAATTTCCAGTGTTTGTAATGCTTCAACAAAAGTCAGTAAAGGAAATTTATATACAAATATGCATGTATTTATGATAGTGTATGAAATATATTATCATTTATAGGGATTAAAATGAGTAAAAAGCTATATTATGTTGCAGCAATAAACAAAAGATTTTTCTACAGACAGATGTGTCCAAAGGACATTAAATGAAAAATTCCTCTGAAAAGGCCATGGAACTATAGGTAGAAGTGGGACAAACTAGTCTTTGAAAAGTTGGGCAGTTGTCTATGTAAAACAAATTCTAAACTCATTCAAAGATATTTTTTTAAAAGAACTTTGACACTTGATTAAGCGGCAATTAATCATTTGGTCCCTGCTTGACAAAAGTCAGAATCTATGAGATCATGTCATTGGCCAACACACACTTAATGATTAAGAAAGATGAACATATCACTTTGAATTGTCAAAAATGTTCAAATCACTGTAAAAAAATATAACCATATATAATTTAACAAATTTCTGGGTTTTACAAGTCATCCATTATGGCTACACTTTCATCCAATTAATTCTGAGTTGTGTTTTTGTTTTGTTTTTAAAAAAACTATCTCTTAGAAAAAGACAACTATAAGATGTTAGGCACATGTATGTGTGATTTTTAATCTTGTGAACTTAACCTTCATACAGCCCTTCCGGTATTTCAAAAACTCTTGGTGGTATTATCAGTCAAATCTGGTTCTCTTTTATCCTGAAGTTTATGTAAATACAGGCCTAACCTTCCCTCTTTATATGACACCATCTCCCATGATTCTCAACCTGTGGCTGGTGAGCAATAGTCAGTGTGCCTGGAACTTCTCCACTGAGAAAGAAAAATGATATTTTTTCTCCAACTCATTTCCATTTTCACAGCCTTCAAAGGTAATCATTCTTCCATACAGAGATGAAAGCTAAAAGGCTCTAATAAGCTTCGGGTTAAGGGACTGCAGCAGACTGACATTAAAGTGTACATACCAACATTTTTTTCCAGATGTCCAAATGGAGGCCCAGTTGGTGGAGTCTGGAGGGGATGTGAGAAGACCTGGAGGGTCCCTCCGTCTCTCCTGCCAAGCTTCAGGCTTCACCTTCAGTAGCTATCAGATGGTCTGGGTGAGACAGGCTCCAGGGAAAGTCCTGGAATGGCTTGCGTGGATAGATAACCCTGCAGATGGGAACACCCAATACTATGCCAATTCAGTGAAAGGCCGTTTCACCATCTCTCGGCACGATGCCTCCAGCATGCTTTATCTCCAAATGAGCAGCTTGAAACCAGAGGACACGGCTGTGTATTTCTGTGCTACAGACTTCACCGTGAGAGGAAGCTATGGTGAAGCCTGACAAAATCCCTCACTGGTTGATGCCTGCTGTCCAAGTTGAGTCAGCTTCCAGGCACTGAATTAAAAACAAAGGCAGTTAGCTCTCCATGCAGATGAGTAGAGCCAATCCCCTTTCATTATCTACTGGTGAACTGGAAAAGCTACTAATATTCAACTGTTAATGGTTCCTTTGATTTGAACTTTTCCTTCTCTCATTTGAAGTTATCAAATTGATGGCTCAGGTGGTGGAGTCTGTAAGGGGTGTGAGAAGTCCTGGTGAGGCCCTCCATATCTCCTGCTGAGCTTCTAGCTTCACCTTCAACACCACAATAGAGATGATAGACCTTTCAGGCTAAGCTTGTCAAAATTTGGAAAATGCTTAACTTGACTGTACTGGTTTGTCTCTCTCTCTCACACACACACACACACACAAACACCTCAGAACAAAACAGAAACAACAAATTGCCTTTGAGCTTTGAGATTAGTACTTTCTAGATGGAGTGATCATCCTCTCACCCATGAAATTGTTGAGTAATATTGGTTAAAATAAACTGACCACAAGAATACTTGCTTAATCATGGGTTCATTCAGATGTATCCCATCTACACCTTTGTTCTTATGCAGATGTTTTATGGGGTCTCTTTCCTTTAGCAATGCATTTGTTTGTGCATTTTATTTTTTAACATCCAGATTAAAATTGCGGAAAACATATTTCTGGCAGAATATCTTTGGAGATTCCTAATCATGCAAAATAACAGAGTTGAAAGGGACCTTGGAGGTCTTCTAGTCCAACCCCATGTATAAGCAGGAGATCCTATTCCATTCTGGACAAATGGCTGTTAAATCTCTTCTTAAAAACCTCAGTGATGGAGCATCCACA